GCTTAGAGGGAACATGTTCTGCCCGGTGGTGTAGGGTCCTAATTACTCCAAGTTTGTGTTCCAAAGGGTGATGGGAGTCAAAGAGGAGGTACTGGTCCGTGTGTGTGGGTTTCCGGTAAATTTCGATGTTGAGTTTGCCGTTCTCTTCAATATGCACTGCGCAGTCCAGGAAAGGCAAACAGTTGTCCTTTGTGTCTTCCCTGGTGAACTTGATGTTTTTATCCACAGCGTTAATGTGCGCAGTGAAGGATTCCATTTCTTGTGTCTTGATTTTGACCCAGGTGTCGTCCACATATCTGTACCAGTGGCTGGGTACTCTTCCTTTGAAAGAGCCAAGAGCCTTCCTTTCCACTTCCTCCATGTAAAGGTTGGCTACAATAGGTGACACGGGGGAGCCCATGGCACAGCCATGTTTTTGTCTGTAAAAGCCTTCGTTGTACTTGAAATATGTAGTGGTGAGGCAGAGGTCTAACAGTGTGCAAATCTGATCGGGTGTGAAGTTGGTCCTGTCCTCCAAGGAGCTGTCTTCTTGTAGAAGACATCGACATCGAAATTTACCGGAAGCCCACACACACGGACCAGTACCTCCTCTTTGACTCCCATCACCCTTTGGAACACAAACTTGGAGTAATTAGGACCCTACACCACCGGGCAGAACATGTTCCCTCTAAGCCTGAAGGGAAAAAGAAGGAACACACACATGTAAAGGAAGCACTCAAAACGTGCGGCTATCCTAGATGGGCGTTCTTAAAGTCAGCAAAGAGGCACAGAAAAGAAGACCAGACACCAGCGAGGGAGGATAAGAAGGACAGACGCAACAACATTGTCATCCCCTATGTAGCCGGTGTATCAGAGAAACTCAGGAGAGTTTTCTCCAAGCATGACATCCCAGTGTATTTCAGATCCAGCAACATGCTCAGACAGAAACTGGTTCACCCGAAAGACAAAACGCCAAAACACAAACTTAACAATGTGGTGTATGCTGTACAGTGCAGCGAGGAATGCTCAGACCTCTACATTGGAGAGACCAAACAGCCACTTCACAAGCACATGGCACAACACAGAAGAGCCACCTCCACAGGACAAGACTCAGCAGTCCATCTGCATCTTAAGGATAAAGGACACTCTTTCGAGGATACCAATGTTCACATTTTGGACAGAGAGGACAGATGGTTTGAAAGAGGAGTGAAAGAAGCCATCTATGTCCACTGTGAGCGACCATCTTTGAACAGAGGCGGGGGTTTACGACACCAACTCTCTGCCATCTATAATCCAGTTTTGAGATCCCTTCCCAGGCGCCTTAACGCCCACTCACATCCTGGGCCATCTGACCTCAGGAATTCGCATGATAAGGTGGGGCCAGGTTTCACAATGAACACACCCGAAACTCTGGCTGATTGGGACCCACACCCAGTTTCACACCTTGGCTCAGGCGATTAGAGGATCATCAGGGGGTCCTTTTGTCCCTCTGTGGGGGGATACTCCCACTAGGTTTATATCTAGGACTCTCCACCATTTGACCTTAGAACTGAAGAAGCTTCTCGGATGAGAGGTGAAACGTCTTCAAGCAACTTAAAGAAGTCCAGACGCTTTTCTTTGCAAGCTCCTTTGACTTCTGCATATTTAGATTTTTTTCTTTATCTATTAATATTCTGTGGTATCTTTACTATTCTTACTAAGGCGCTGTTGTGCCTTCTGTCTCTATGGAAACCTCTCGTTTGCAGTCTATTTGAGTTGCAACATTGTGTGGTGTGTGGTGCTTTAACTCTTACTTCAGTGAACAAATACTTAAATTTTCAAGTCTTCTATGAACCTCCATATTCTGCATCAGTCTTTCTCTTTTTCTTCCTCTTTTTTAGTGTCTTTTATTTTTCAGGTCTAGCAAACTCAAATGTCTCATAAACCGTATGAATCAAAAAACAGCAAGCAGGCAGGTGAGTTTCCCATAATTTTTTTTTTTTCCAAAGAGAATCCCAAAACCTGACTGCTGTTGATGTGCTACTACACCACTTACACTCCAGAAGGAATCATGGGTTTCTAAGGCAGTGTGGGAGGAATGGCAGGACGCTAACTAGGAAGTAAACCAGACACAATAATAACTGAATGGAACTATCAAAAACAAAAACAAATTTATACAAGGTTGACTAATTTACCACAGATCAGACAGAGATGTTCATGTCTGAAGGCGACATTAACACCCAAAACATTCGGGCACGGAAACATTCTTCAGCACATCTGTGTTATAAGCATGGTTCAAATAACTTCAGACCTGGATTTACTGATTCCTGGTTATGGCCAATTCAGTAAGTTGAGACAGATTCTTTAAGACTAGGCAGTCTGTCAGATTAACAAATGATCTGATGTCTTTGATAGGGGGGGGGAGAATGACACCTTCTAGAAAGTGAGAACTGTCTTAACAGAATGCAACAAGGCTCCCTCAATCTGCAGAGACCATAGAAAGAAAATTATTTTTACAGGCTAGTGTCCTGTATGAGCTTCTGTAGTAATCCTAGGGTAATGTGTTAGGAATGAAAGGATGCCACATCAGTTGATGGAAATGAAATTTTTTAACTTACAGAGGGTTGAATTCACAGACACCTAAAAATCAAAGTGAAAAAATTATGCAACAGGCTAATCTGACAAAATTTCATTAGAGCAACTTCAAATGGTACTTAGTAGTTTGTATGGACTTCACATGTTTGTATGCTTGCCTGACCATGTCAGGGCATGCTCCTAATGAGATGACGCTGGGGGGTGTCCTCCCAAATCTGGAGCAGGGCATCTCTGATTTCCTGGACGGTGTGAGGTGTAATTTGGTGGCATTGGATGGACCAAAACGTAATGTCCCAACGGTTTTCTGTTGGATTTAAGTTAGGAGAGCTTGGTGGGCACGTCAGTAGTGTCAATTCCTTCATCCTCCTGCATAATCTAACTGCATGAAACCACTGCCAAACCGGACACGCTGAAAAATGTTACAGGTACAATATAACATTCTTCACGGCTTTTCAAGACCCTTTCATGTCTGTCAGATGTGCTCGGGGTGAACTGGTACTCATCTCTGAAGCACATCTGACAGCCAAAAACGTGTTTTTCTTGTCATCGAAAATCAAATGATTCAAAATCCAAAAAGAAATCTGATTTAATTTGAATTTGATTAAACTCAGTTTCAGTTTTCCAAACTGGTATAAAACTCTGTTTCAGCTACAACAGATGCTTGTGTTCCCTCTTTGGCCTTGGGTTTCTTGAGCAGGAAAAAGAAAGCCTGGGTCTTCAAAGGAGCCACTATAGAACCTTTAAAACACAAAATATTGATGGAATACATAAAGATGACATGCACACACATAAATACATTAGCAGTGGTCAAGAGAAGCACTCCATTTGCCATAAGATTCCAATTCAAATTGACAGTGTATCTTTGTATGTTCAGCTACTGCTGTGTTGTCTAATGAAAAGTATGAATAAAGGAAAGGAAAGTGCAAAGTTTCATAATAACATATAAGTTACACTATTATCTTATTTCAAAGGGTCAGTTCAACAAATTATCAACATTATGCTATGTCAGAATACAAATTAAGAAAAATGAACAACAGTCAAGAACTGGAGTGTTTATTCTTGCAAGGGAGCAAATTCATCCAATACAAGGTTTCATGTAAGTGCTCGCAGTGGGAAGTCCGAAGTGAGCTTTTTATTGCATTTTACCATTCCCACCCTCCTCTGCCTTAAAACTGTAACACAACATCACTTTTCCTTCTTGGGGCTTTTCCCCCTGCTTTACTGTAGTTTCATGACTCTGGGTCATGTTGTCTGATATGGTTGATATTTCCATCACTAAGTGAAACTGTTCACAGATATTGCTGCTCTGATAACTTCACTGTGGTTACTTTGGTTGCTAACAGAGTGTCAGAGATTTACAGTTAACAAACAGTCAGGTGAATAAACAACACTGAGACACTTAAGATTGACAACGTGCGGCACGGGTGAAAAGCTCAGAGCAAATCACACCGAACTGCAGTATTCGTTTATTTTTATAGGTTACATCGTCAATATGCAAATATAATCACATTTCCTGTTACGCAGGTCCTGATGCTGTCTGTGTGTGTGTGTGTGTGTGTGTGTGTGTGTGTGTGTGTGTGTGTGTGTATGTGTGTGTGTGTGTGTTTGTCACAAAGTATGTGTGTTGCAAGTCAATTTCTAAGAATAATATACTGCGAGTCAACTTCTGCAGATATGTATTTCTGTACTGATCTCTTGTCAGTGTCACAGGGTCAGCTTCCTGTTTTAACAGAAAACTGTGTCTGGTGAAATATGTATAACATAACATTTGAAGCATAATCAAATAAAACAATAAAAATTCCTTAACACAGAGGTTGACAACTTCAGCCATAGCTTGTATGGAAGACACCAAATTATAGGTGAACACTTTCTACTTGCTGAGAGGTGTTGAAACTGTGAAGAAGGTGAAATGGTGACCATTCATTACATCTTGGTTTTTGCTGTAAGCCACAACTTTTGCTTTGAATGTGATTGTTTCTCTGCTTCCTTTTTGCATCACATTTTTTCAATTTTAACAACTGCTCATTGTCATGTTGTGTGACCAAGTAAGTAGAGCGCCAGTATCGCCAAAAATGTAAGGTACTCTAATGCCCTAATTTTTGGTGTGTGAGTGTACTGCTATTGATTATGATTCAATTTCTATAACTTAATTACAAATCTGAAACACTGTATCTGATCAGATCATGCTAAGATTTGCTTTACAGTCTGATAATTTTTTTGTTGTGTTAATATTTCACAATTGTAGATACCATGAGTGGGAATTTTATTTTAACCCAGTGTCTAAACAATGATGAAAATATACTGAAAATTTTCAAGGTTGAAATTAAAGCTCTATTTCATGTTATGATATAGAAACCTGCTTGTGATACACCATTCAGAGCATTGGGCAGAATTAGAGATGTATAAAATACTCACTTTTATTAATGCATCATACAAGACCAGGCAAAATACAAAATCTGCAGCCAGGCAGCACCAGTGATAACAGACCACACATCTACTTGACTTATAATTTCACATGGGTAATGGGTTTACTCTGCCACTTTCTGGTGAGCACAATGAATGGCCAAAGAAAGCAAAAAGGTCTTATTTTGTTAGCAAAACAACAAAGAATAATAAATGAAAATGAGCAGAGACCATTAAAAATCAACTCAAACCACAAAAAGTATAGGCCACACTTTTCTAGAATGTTTAATTGATTTTTCTTTTCTTCTTTTCTTTTTTTTTTTGGATAAAGACACAATCTTAAGTATATTGTCTTTGTCTGGACACTGTATTGTCACCAACATATATGTCAAGATTTTGTAATATTAAAAAAAAATCTCGATGTTTACTGTGGGCTAAGTCTTAAATAACATTTCTAAAAAGGAATCATATTAGCCCTACAAAGTTATTTTTTCTGACTAGATGGAAAATTTAAAGTATAGATTTATTCTTGTCAAATAAAACATGTAAAAGAAAACCGCATTATATCTTAGGGCACAGATCATTGAGGTGGTCCTTGGGATCTTACATATACACTTAATGAAGTGTCTAACTACCTGCAGAGAACTTTATTTGGGTTATTTAAAGAAAAAAGACACAGTGACAGTAGAATAAGTGGGATCATTCACAGTGGAGTACACAGCTTCATCTTCTCCTTCCTCTTTTTCTGGTTGACAATGTTTCATCTCCAACTCCATCTCCTTCTCTTCTTTGGCCTCCAACATTTCCCTTTCCTTCTCAAGCATCTTCTACCTGTTCTGCTTTTACTGCTTTTTTGATTTCAGCATACTCCGTCTTTGTCCTCTCTTGCCTCTTTGCTGCTTTCCTGGCACTGCTGCTTTTCAACAGGGAAAAATTAACTGTCAGCATGTTGCAAGTATTTTTGAGTTAACCAACTTAGAAGTTACATTCATGCTTAAACATCAGTGACCTGTTCATCAACTGTTTATGGCAAAACTAATAACCTATGTTGTTTATTCATATTATTGTGTTTATTGTGTATAGTGTTGTGTCACTTTTGTCACTCTTATTCCAACATACTTCTTTTTGTGTCTTTTTGTGCAACTAAATGTCTGTGTATTCTGTCTGTTTGGTGTTTAGAGGGCATTGATGCCTAAACAGAGTCATTGCTTCTCAGACTTACTTCAAAATTGCATCATGATACCGTACTCCTTTTCTAACACGTCATTGTGCAGTTTGTGTTTCAGGACAATTCTACAAAACCTACTTCTCTGAATTGCGTTAGACTCAGTAGAAAGATAAAGGGATCCAACTAATTGTGTTTTGACTCAGACCGAATTTCTTTTTCTTTTGTAGAAACTTGGAGCAGGATGGGCCACTTTATATGTGAATGTATAGTAAGAGTATGGACACTTAAGTTTTCTGAGCATTTGTGTAGAAAATCATACCAAAAAAAAAGTCAAATGAACATAAATACCAGTTTATCATCTTGATGTTTCTCCATCTCCAAAGTCTCATCTGAATTTTTTGAGGTCTTCTGATTTTTTCTATAGAAAGGGGTGTTTTTAGAGAAGTACATTTATGTTCAAATTTATCTACAGAAAAAAACAACAGCTAACTAATATTAATAATAATTATAAAAGCAAGTGCTTTACCTGTACCAATTTTTGGTAAAACAGCAAACGATTGCTGAAAGAACTACTGCAGCCAAAATGCCAATGATGACTTTCATGTATCCCTGCCTTAAATTAGACGATTGCTCTGCACTCCAAAAAATAACAACATAAAAAATTATGGTCCAGGTTGTTTTGAATTAGATAAAGCAAATACAAACTATAAATGACAGCCTAATTAGCAAGGCTGCATTAAGAAAATGTGGTACGTAAAAAGTGAACGTGGCAGTGAAAGGTGTTTAGATGGAAAACACATACCATGTTTTTCAGGCAAGTTTTGGTGGATCAGTAGGTTTTCTCTATTCTCTCCATTTCCATTGTTACTCACACATTCCACAGTGCTGTTGCTATGTTTGTTTACAGTTACACTGACAGTGCTGTTGACTGTGTGTTTAGAGACCATAGTAATGACAGAATACTCAGTGTGGTTCTTTAGGAGCGGCCATTTGATGGTAGGTAAAGGAAACCCTTCACTGATACACACACAGGTCAAAACCTCTGACTGAAGCACACATCCAGAGCCATCCTGGGTCTCTGAAAACCCTGTAAGCACATGATTAGACTCATAAAACAAAGGAAGGTGTACATAAACTTCAGATTCAAGATCATTGTGTTCCACTTACAAGTCACAGTCACACTGGCATGTATAGTAATGGCTTTGTCCAGATATTTCGCTGTGCAGACATATTGTCCAGAATACTCAGCTGTCACATTATGAATGACAAGTGTAGATGATCCAGTGCCATTGTGCAGGTCAGTGTAATTTCCACTCAGAAGGTTTGTGTTGGAGCTACGTTTTTTCCACATGATAAGAGCTGGAGGGAAACTCTCAGCACTGCAGGTCAAATTCAGAACATCTCCCTTCTTAACAGTTGTACTCCCAATAATCTGAGGTTTTCTTTTATCTGTGGGATAACAGATTTTTTTTTTGTGATCACCAACAAGAGAATCTGCCTAAATAGTCAATATGCAAAGATGTTTAGATGGCATCACACATTTAACCATATAGTAAAAGCAAAAAGTTGTATACATACATATCACTGTTACATGGACTTCCTCTTTTAGAGTGTTACTCATATATTTAGCTGTACAGATGTACTGTCCAGAATCTTCTGCGGTTCCATTAGGGATGACAAGCGTAGCTGATCCAGTGTCGTTGTGCAGGTTTGTGACAGAAGTCAATTTAGACCACATAATGAGAGATGGAGGGAAACTTTCAACACTGCAGGTCAGATTTAGATTGTCTCCCTCCTTTATACTTGTGTTCCCAGTGATCTGAGGTTTTCTTGTATCTGTGGAGCACAACTCAGTTATTTATTTAAGACATGGAGGGTGACAACAGTATTCCAGGGTTTTACCCATTACTGCTGTACTGCTCCCCACTACAGTCACCAAATCATCATAACACGAAAAATTATATTTGATCCCTCAAGCAGATTTTAAGAGACTTGCAGAATCAATGCCTGTTACCACAACATGTGTTGGACCACTGTGAGAACACAACACTTTTTGGTTTTTAATGTTTCCTTTGCTTTAACCAGCAGTTTTTGTCTTCATGTAATGAAATTTGATAACCATTTATACTGCATCCTTAAAAAAATATTTCCTCACGTCATTATGGCTAGTAAAATGTAAAGACCAAAATATCTGACTACCAATGACGTAAAAACAATTGTGTACATACATTATAGACACCTGGAGACTGGTAAAGTTTACTTACAAGTTACAGCCACATTGACGTAAGAAGTCATAGTTGTGTCCAGATGTGTTGCTGTACAGATGTACTGTCCAGAATGTTCTGTTGTCACATTCTGGACGAAAACTGTAGCTGATCCAGTGTCACTGGTTAGGACAGTGTAAGTTCTATTCTGAAGAATTGTGGTGGAATTAAGTTTTTTCCACATAATAAGTGATGGAGGGAAACTTTGAACACTGCAGGTCAAATTCAGAACATCTCCCTCCTTGACTGTTGTATTCCCGATGATCTGAGGTTTCCTTTTATCTGCAGAGCACATTTCAGTAACTTAAATAAGCACCATGAAAGGAACACTGGCAGATAACCCTTCTGTGAAAATTTGTAATGAGATTTTGAAAAGAAAAGAAATAAGATTTTTGATACTGGCACTAATAATATTATTCACAAACTGATCTGACACTGCGTGTATAATATTACATGGACAGTGCAAAGTGAAACAGATTTCAGCAGCATTGAAGATACATCTTGATTTTTGCAGATGTCACTTGCGGTTTCAACTGGCTCTCAAATACATGTGCAACATTTGCTGTGGTTTTCTGCAAAGTTGTTTTCCCCACAATATACCTTGTGTTCTGCATGTTATTTCATAGCATTGTGTTTTCATTTGTTTGTTTTTTGTTACTCTGTACCTACAAAGAACACATGTACACATCATCTGCATGTTATTCTTTATGTATTTTTTATGCTAGCAGTCACAATTTCAGTTACCAGATCGGGGGAAATATAACTGTGCTGTATTATAAATGTTCTGTCTTATAGCAAGAAGTTGTGTACTTACAAATCACTTTTACATTGACTTTGTCCTTCAGGGCATAGTCCATATAGTTAGTTGTACAGATGTACTGTCCAGAATGTTCTGCTGTTGCATTTGAGATGATAAATGTAGCTGATCCAGTGTCATTGTGCAGGTTTGTGTTGGAACCAAGTTTAGACCACACAACCAGGGATGGAGGGACACTTTCAACACTGCAGGTCAGATTCAGGACATCTCCCTCCTTCACAGTTGTGTTTCCAATGATCTGAGGTCTTCTTGTATCTGTGGAGCACACCAGCATTTTATTCAGGATAAGGAGAGAGAAAACAACTAAAAGAATTATTAAGGATGAACCAACCAACCAAACAAACAAACAAAAACAGAAGAAAATAAAGTTCTTATGTTCTTTGATCACACAGAATAATAATAATAATTCTGTGATGCTGTGCAGGCATTTAACTGGCTGCCATGTTTGTATTGTTTTTTTTTTAAGAATCAATATTAAAATGGACTGTAGCTGTAGTGATCCAGCCTCATAATAAGACATTTTATTTTATTTTTTTTCAACAATTATCTTTTTATATCACATACATACATCTTGAGATTAATGAAACTGGCAATGTCTACTTACAAGTCACAGTCACATTGACATAAGAAGTCATAGTTGTGTCCAGATGTGTTGCTGTACAGATGTACTGTCCAGACTGTTTTGTTGTTACATTTGCGATAACAAGTGTAGCTGATCCAGTGTCATTGTATGCGTCAGTGTAGGTTCCTTTGTGTCGGCTTGGGTTAGAAGTAGGTTTAGACCACATGACCAGAGATGGAGGGAAACTTTCAACACTGCAGGTCAAATTCAGAACATCTCCCTCCCTGATTGTTGTATTCCCGATGATCTGAGGTTTCCTTTTATCTGTGGAGTGTATTTAAATCTTTTAAAGAGGGAGACATTAACACTGCCACAGATCATGGTAATGAGAAACTGCTACTGCAGTTTTGCAGTGAAAGCTTCTAAAATAGGTTAATGTTTGACATGTGTAACATTATGTATATTCACTGAGCAAAGTGCCAAACTTTAGCTGCACTTGAAATACAATTAGTTACTGTAGAATGTCAAAGGAAATTTAGAATGGCTCTCAAATACACATGCAACAATTGTTGTGCTTCATTAAACTGAAAGAAACAAGATGCACATTTGCATAGTGACTGCATTGTTTGCTTTGTTGTTCTCCTTGTGATTCACAATTTCAGTTACGTGATAGGAAGAAAAAAAATGAACAGTACTATAAATATTCTGTCCAAAAACATAAGGTTTTGTACTTACATATCACTGTTATGTTGAATTTATCCTTAAGGGTAGTGTTCATATATTTAGCTGTACAGATGTACTGTCCAGAATCTTCTGTTGTCACATTCAGGACGGCAAGTTTGGCTGATCCAGTGTCACTGTGCAGGTTTGTGTTGGAACCAAGTTTAGACCACACAACCAGGGATGGAGGGACACTTTCAACACTGCAGGTCAGATTCAGAACATCTCCCTCCTTCACAGTTGTGTTTCCAATGATCCAAGGTCTTCTTGTGTCTGTGGAGCACACCAGCATTTCATTCAGGATAAGGTGAGAGAAAACAACTCAAAAAAAATATTAACAATGAACCAAAAAAAGAAAGACACCCCCCCCCCCCCAAAAAAAAAAAAGAAAAGAAAAAAGAAAAAATGGAAACCTGGTCCACACAGAACAGTCAGGGATTCTAATATTTATATAATGTTGTCCAGGTATTTAACTAGCTGGCATGTTTTGCTTTTATTTCCCCCACCAGTGCGAACCACTCTAATCATCAAATCACCAGAGAAGGAAGAATGATGTTTCAACTCCATGATGTTTAATTCATTTTAAGAATTAATGTTAAAATGGAATGTAGCTGTTATGGTAGCCTGTAGTGATCCAGCCTCATAATAAGGCATTTTATATCATATTCATATATCTTGAGATTAATGAGACTGGTAATGTCTACTTACAAGTCACAGTCACATTGACATAAGAAGTCATAGTTGTGTCCAGATGTGTTGCTGTACAGATGTACTGTCCAGACTGTTCTGCTGTCACATTTGGGATGACAAGTGTAGCTGATCCAGTGTCATTGTGCGCGTCAGTGTAGGTTTCATTGTGTCGGCTTGGCTTAGAAGTAGGTTTAGACCACATGACCAGAGATGGAGGGAAACTTTCAACACTGCAGGTCAAATTCAGAACATCTCCCTCCCTGATTGTTGTATTCCCGATGATCTGAGTTTCCTTTTATCTGTGGAGTGTATTTAAATCTTTTAAAGAGGGAGACATTAACACTGCCACAGATCATGGTAATGAGAAACTGCTACTGCAGTTTTGCAGTGAAAGCTTCTAAAATAGGTTAATGTTTGACATGTGTAACATTATGTATATTCACTGAGCAAAGTGCCAAACTTTAGCTGCACTTGAAATACAATTAGTTACTGTAGAATGTCAAAGGAAATTTAGAATGGCTCTCAAATACACATGCAACAATTGTTGTGCTTCATTAAACTGAAAGAAACAAGATGCACATTTGCATAGTGACTGCATTGTTTGCTTTGTTGTTCTCCTTGTGATTCACAATTTCAGTTACGTGATAGGAAGAAAAAAAATGAACAGTACTATAAATATTCTGTCCAAAAACATAAGGTTTTGTACTTACATATCACTGTTATGTTGAATTTATCCTTAAGGGTAGTGTTCATATATTTAGCTGTACAGATGTACTGTCCAGAATCTTCTGTTGTCACATTCAGGACGGCAAGTTTGGCTGATCCAGTGTCATTGTGCAGGTTTGTGTTGGAACCAAGTTTAGACCACACAACCAGGGATGGAGGGACACTTTCAACACTGCAGGTCAGATTCAGGACATCTCCCTCCTTCACAGTTGTGTTTCCAATGATCCAAGGTCTTCTTGTGTCTGTGGAGCACACCAGCATTTCATTCAGGATAAGGTGAGAGAAAACAACTCAAAAAAATATTAACAATGAACCAAAAAAAGAAAGACACCCCCCCCCCCCCCCCCCCCCAAAAAAAAAAAAAGAAAAGAAAAAAGAAAAAATGGAAACCTGGTCCACACAGAACAGTCAGGGATTCTAATATTTATATAATGTTGTCCAGGTATTTAACTAGCTGGCATGTTTTGCTTTTATTTCCCCCACCAGTGCGAACCACTCTAATCATCAAATCACCAGAGAAGGAGGAATGATGTTTCAACTCCATGATGTTTAATTCATTTAAGAATTAATGTTAAAATGGAATGTAGCTGTTATGGTAGCCTGTAGTGATCCAGCCTCATAATAAGGCATTTTATATCATATTCATATATCTTGAGATTAATGAAACTGGCAATGTCTACTTACAAGTCACAGTCACATTGACATAAGAAGTCATAGTTGTGTCCAGATGTGTTGCTGTACAGATGTACTGTCCAGACTGTTTTGTTGTTACATTTGCGATGACAAGTGTAGCTGATCCAGTGTCATTGTGCGCGTCAGTGTAGGTTCCTTTGTGTCGGCTTGGGTTAGAAGTAGGTTTAGACCACATGACCAGAGATGGAGGGAAACTTTCAACACTGCAGGTCAAATTCAGAACATCTCCCTCCCTGATTGTTGTATTCCCGATGATCTGAGGTTTCCTTTTATCTGTGGAGTGTATTTAAATCTTTTAAAGAGGGAGACATTAACACTGCCACAGATCATGGTAATGAGAAACTGCTACTGCAGTTTTGCAGTGAAAGCTTCTAAAATAGGTTAATGTTTGACATGTGTAACATTATGTATATTCACTGAGCAAAGTGCCAAACTTTAGCTGCACTTGAAATACAATTAGTTACTGTAGAATGTCAAAGGAAATTTAGAATGGCTCTCAAATACACATGCAACAATTGTTGTGCTTCATTAAACTGAAAGAAACAAGATGCACATTTGCATAGTGACTGCATTGTTTGCTTTGTTGTTCTCCTTGTGATTCACAATTTCAGTTACGTGATAGGAAGAAAAAAAATGAACAGTACTATAAATATTCTGTCCAAAAACATAAGGTTTTGTACTTACATATCACTGTTATGTTGAATTTATCCTTAAGGGTAGTGTTCATATATTTAGCTGTACAGATGTACTGTCCAGAATCTTCTGTTGTCACATTCAGGACGGCAAGTTTGGCTGATCCAGTGTCACTGTGCAGGTTTGTGTTGGAACCAAGTTTAGACCACACAACCAGGGATGGAGGGACACTTTCAACACTGCAGGTCAGATTCAGAACATCTCCCTCCTTCACAGTTGTGTTTCCAATGATCCAAGGTCTTCTTGTGTCTGTGGAGCACACCAGCATTTCATTCAGGATAAGGTGAGAGAAAACAACTCAAAAAAAATATTAACAATGAACCAAAAAAAGAAAGACCCCCCCACCCCAAAAAAAAAAAAAGAAAAAAGAAAAAATGGAAACCTGGTCCACACAGAACAGTCAGGGATTCTAATATTTATATAATGTTGTCCAGGTATTTAACTAGCTGGCATGTTTTGCTTTTATTTCCCCCACCAGTGCGAACCACTCTAATCATCAAATCACCAGAGAAGGAAGAATGATGTTTCAACTCCATGATGTTTAATTCATTTTAAGAATTAATGTTAAAATGGAATGTAGCTGTTATGGTAGCCTGTAGTGATCCAGCCTCATAATAAGGCATTTTATATCATATTCATATATCTTGAGATTAATGAGACTGGTAATGTCTACTTACAAGTCACAGTCACATTGACATAAGAAGTCATAGTTGTGTCCAGATGTGTTGCTGTACAGATGTACTGTCCAGACTGTTCTGCTGTCACATTTGGGATGACAAGTGTAGCTGATCCAGTGTCATTGTGCGCGTCAGTGTAGGTTTCATTGTGTCGGCTTGGCTTAGAAGTAGGTTTAGACCACATGACCAGAGATGGAGGGAAACTTTCAACACTGCAGGTCAAATTCAGAACATCTCCCTCCCTGATTGTTGTATTCCCGATGATCTGAGGTTTCCTTTTATCTGTGGAGTGTATTTAAATCTTTTAAAGAGGGAGAAATTAACACTGCATAGATCATGGTGATGAGACACAATATGCAGTTCTGCAGTAAAAGCTGCTAAGGTAGGTTGATGTGTTACATGTGTGACATTATATATATTCCCTGAGCAAAGTGCCAAAATTCAGCAAATTGGTTTCTGTAGAACGTCAAAAGAAGTTTAGAATGGCTGTCAAATACAAGATTAATAAAGACTCCCCAAAGTTGATTTTGTTCATTTGGATGTAGCGTTTTCAGTGGGAGAAACGTTTCATCACTCACCCAAGTGACTTCTTCAGTCTCAGCTGACTTCAGGTTACCCCAATTTTATAAACAGTACATTTGCATAATGACTGAAACCAGCACCACTGAAGGAACAATGGGCTGGGAGGTCAGTTCCTTGATAATTAATGAGAATTTGCATTTTTGATCAAGGAACTGACCTCCCAGCCCATTGTTCCTTCAGTGACCAATGCATGATTGAGCATGCATCAAGACATTAATAAAAAACGATAATGCCTACTTACAAGTCACAGTCACATTGACATAAGAAGTCATAGTTGTGTCCAGATGTGTTGCTGTACAGATGTACTGTCCAGAATCTTCTGTTGTCACATTCTGGATGGCAAGTTTGGCTGATCCAGTGTCATTGTGCAGGTTTGTGACAGAACCAAGTTTAGACCATAAAATCAGAGATGGAGGGAAACTTTCAACACTGCAGGTCAGATTCAGATTGTCTCCCTCTTTAACAGTTGTGATGCCAGTAATTTGAAATTTTTTCATATCTATGAGACAAAACATATAAATTACACAATCATGTAGTTTCCCTAACTTTCTGACTTCTTGCTAGAAGAATGCAGCTGACACTGCACAACTCAACAGATTTCAGGAAAAAAAAAAAAGCTAGTTTAATACTATAAAAGTACTTACAGTTCACATTCAAACCCAAAGTCTCTTCTTTCATTATTTTGCCAATGAAGTGTACTTTACAGGTCACATTGGTGTTGTGGTTTTCAGATGAAGGGTTAAAGGTCAAAGTTGACACATGTCTTTGTGTGAAAGGAGTCAGACCCTCAGTCTTAAACGCAGTGCTATTTCCTGTAATGTAAGATTCAGTCCCTCCTGCTCCTCTCCATGTCCAGGTGATTTGAGGAACAGATCCAGAGCAGAGACCAGGAGCAGTGCAGGTCAGTGTGGCCTGCTGTCCCTCAGTCAGTGTGGGAATCATTACTGTGGGCTTCTGATTAAGACCTAATAGAAGTATTGGGCATTAGTGGAATCAAATTTAGCCTTGATGAAAGAAATATTTTGCTGGCCACTAGTTGGATCTACTGCAGCTCCTATTAGATTTCCACAGAGGATCAACCAATTCCCAAAATTAAATAATACTTCATTTAAGATTGTAAAAATACTAAATATGAGGTTTCACAAGACTGAGTATTTAAAATCAGCATTATTCTTCTTGGAATAGCTTTCATACCTTTAACAGAGACAGTTACTCTAGGAATGAATGTGAATCCATCTTGTTTTCCATTCAGTTCACCAGTAACTCTGAGCTGATATGATCCTGAATCAGACTCTTTCAGATCATTAATGATGATGCTGCAGTTTTTTTGAGTCACATCAGGCTCCAAACGTGAGACTCGTCCTTCAAACTCAGCCTGAGCTTTTTTCTCAGTGTTTTTGTTGCTGTGAAATATTATGTCAGCATCGCTGCAGCTGTGTTGAGATGCTTCACATTCGTACCAAACTGTATGTTTGGGTGTAAACTCATCAGCAGTAGTGAAAGAACATGGGATCACAACACAGAGTCCAGCCTCTGCTGTAAGTTCTTGCTCACTGAGAGTCACACAGTATCTTCCAACACAGTGTTGTCGTCCCCAGGCTGAGGCACAAACAGGGAGATACACATAGTGACAGAGAATATTTAGTTTATAACAATAAATATGATTTTTAATAAATATACTTCAATAGCTTTCCTGTTTTACATATGTTGCTTGTTTGAGTGTAGTATATGCAACAATCAGAATTTTACATATTTCTTAGCCTGTAGTAAGTTTTGTTACAAAGATTTATATAAAATGGCATAAAGGTCAACAGATAACAGTAACACTACTAACTTATGATAAAGTCTTGGTAGAATAAATAATGATTTGTATGTTAGAAAAACAGTTTCACTTGCAAATTTATGAAAGAAATATATATGTTGGCTGAATTACAGGTTGATAACAAAGTAGACACAAACCTGTTTCAGCACTGCTGAAAAGCAGAGTTGCCCAGATGAGAACAAACATCCTTGATGCCCGATGCTCAACAGATTCAGTCTCTCTCTCCTTAGAATAACTAATATAGATGATGCCGTAAACATGCAGGAATAAAAACAAAAATCAAAACAAAAATCAAATTCAACAATTCAGATCGATTAAACGTGATCAGTTATTTGCTCCTGTTTGTCTATATGTTACCCACACCTGTGATTACACCACTACCTTAAAAAGTAATCTTTGTGTCATCCATCCTGAAACATTACTTGATGAATAAAAATGTTCTTACAGTGCTTCAGCGACACTTATACAATAAATGTAAAACACCTGCCATATAACAGAGCAGCATCATCCATGTAATCTATGCATAATGGTATTTTTATTTTACCAGACCTGCTATTGATGTAAAAAAAAAAATAGATTTTCTTTTTTGTATTTAAAAAGATATTTTAAAACACATTAAATTTTTTCTTACCTGTTTTGCCTTGTTCTCTCTCCTCACTGATGTCCGCTGACTACTTAAATGTAAGTTTCTGTTTCTCGCCTCTCTCTTTTCTGTTTTTTTCCCTCTTTTTGTAGCACAATTTCAGGAAGTTTCTCGTCACACCAATGAACTTGACCGACTGGCTTTCCAACCTTTTACAGGGCAATCATTGCAAAACACAGACATTCATAATTTCAACCCTAGAGTGTAACTAGAGTGTGCGAAAGGACTTTTTTTTTTTACTTGTGTGATATTTCAAAATGTTTTATTTTTAGGATGTCAATCAATGTCACTGAAGTATACATTTTTACATATAGTATGTACAGTATATAAAAACTATGGGAAAAGCAAACAAAAACTTAAAGGAACATTTTTATGAACATTTTTCTTGATACACACTTCACAAATACTACACAAATACAGTACTTGCTCCCGTAAGTTGGTAATGACGGTAAGTAAGATAATGTGAGAAAGCGATTAAAGTTTTTTCACAGAATAAATTCACTTAAGTTAATTCACCATATTTAGCATGTGTATACAATCTACTGTGTGTTGTGCTATCCTGTGGTAGGATAATTGATGGGCTGTCTTCCATTAAGCAACCAAATGTCAGGGGCGGGGTCTGTGACCCAGTGTTTTCAGATTATTTTGTATTTTTGATTTTCTCATGTTAAGTTGGTGATAATAAGTTCTTGTCTTATTATTAGTTAGGATTTAGCTGAGCTTTATTCTGGATTTTGTTTTTTAATCCATGTTTCCTTGGTTATGTGTCATGTTTCCTGTCCAGTCTGTCATGTGTTTCATGTCTGTGTTGTGTCCACGTTGTCAAGCTCGTGTGTCATGTCTACGTCTCTCCATATTTTCTGTTTTATTTTGAAGATTGTAGTGTTTCCATGTTCACTGTGTTTTGTTTTACTTCCCCCTGTGGCAACATGTTCATTTGTGTCACCTGTGTTTCCCCAGGTGTTTCCACTTCCCTCATTACCCGTCTGTTTCTTTAAGTCGCCTGTTACCTTTTACCAGGTTCATGTTCATGTTTAGACTTTTTCTCGCTATGTTTGCATGTTCCTGTTCAGTTCCGTCTTCCTGTCCCATGTCTTAGGTGTCATAGATAGTCATAGTTTTTCCCAGTTTAGGTTTCAGTTTTCTTTCTCCCTTGTTTTCCGTTTTTTGTATCACCCGCAGTAAAGGTTCATTTTTTGTTTAAACACCAGTTCATTTCTCCTGTGTCTGCGTTTTGGGTCCGTTTCATAAACACACCGGCGTTTTTCACCAGGACACCAAATAGATTGATTCAGAAAAAAAAAAAATTAGTACACTTATTAGTCAGCATGTAGCCCAATTTGAAGGAAAAGTTTAAATCTACTGAAAACAGAAACAGCGTTATAACAACTTTTTACCCCCTTATATTTTATATATGTCATTTGATCACATTAAGTAATGACCAACATTGTATTACTAAATTCATTTTACCAGAAAAAGACAGTAAAAATCTAAACAAATATGCAATTTAGTTATATACAAATCTGCAACTAGGACAAAAGAAAAAAATAATTAAATCATATATTTCAGTATTTCTACTTTGAAAATGTCTATAAAAGTTTTATTTTCTTGCTGGATCATTGAATAGTGATATGAAAAGCTGTGACAGCATCCAACATTGTATTAATTGCTGTTCTAGATTCATACTAGTGTATAATTTCAGAAAATTTTAAACAGTTATTAAACTACACAATCTGTGGGTTTCATCATCTTATCACTGTTAGTTTTGATGTTATGACCACAAGTGTGGGGGTAGCTTGGGGTGAAAAGCCAGATTTCTTGAATTCAGGAAGAATACTGAATTTTGACATCCTGTGGGTCATTACCGGGCAGACGCAATAATGTCACTTTACCTTTCATATAATCTGATCTTTGCTGATTAGGTTGGAGAAATTCATGTGGATCAACAACCTCACAGCGAGTCACAGGGAGGCCAGTTTTGATGTCAATTTAAGTGACCAAATACTATTCTTTCCCCAATAAAGTTATCTCTCATCTCATATCACACAGTGTATGCTGTATATTTTAACACAAAATGCTAATCACTGACTAATTTTTATTCCCTGAAAATCTTATTATTATCTTGGGAAATTGACATTCCAGACATTCCATTCATTTTTTTTAATTTTGTTGTCTTTACACTGTAAAGACTGTACAATATTAAAGAGAAAATATGACCTGTGCATGTCATTAAGCATCATTACATCATTCCAACACCCCCAAAACATGTACAGCATAATTGGAATGCCATTCAAGGGCTTTCCTACTGCCTCATATCTGCATATATTAAAAGAGTTAACAATGATTTTTTTTTTTAAAGTTCCTTGAGAAAGGTTAAGTGCATTAAAGAACTTAAATAATTTTAAAGAAATTAACTTTCTCTCTTAGCATTTCTCCATTTTATTCCCATTCTCTGCCAAAACTTCTGCATAGGAAGTATTAGGGGGTTTTTTGTTTCTATTTATATTGTGCAATATCTGTACTGTTATTGGAAAGTGTTGCAATATTACTTTAATATTGTGTAAGGCACTGGTGTGCTCTCTGTATCATGCAAAGCTCTTCACTTGAGGTGCATAATTTTAATCTATCCTTAATTTAACCATTGGTTAATTTTTACTGTGTAACAATTTTTTGCAAGAAAGAAAGAGAGAGAGACAGAGATAGAGATAGAGGAAGTGACTCATAATACATAATGAGTCATAATACAGCAATATCATTTTCGCGTGATCAGCAACATTATTTGCATCAACAGCAACCTCAGTCGTTTGCACATTTACAATAAAGTTGTTTGTGTCATACAAATAATAATTTTTTAAAAATACCTTTTTTCGGTCCTTCAGACAGATTGAGATGAAGAAAACTGAATCATTAGATACAGGTTTTAATCTTGCAGTTTGTGAAACATCTAACATGTTAATAGCCAGCTACAGATTACAGAAAGATCTCAAGTGAGAAAACAAGTGCTCTTCTACAAAATTCTACCAAATAATGATGGAGATGATAGAATACTGGCCGCCATTAAAAAAAAAAACTCAAACAGGGGATTATACTCTTCTTTTTCTTTCTTTGACTGGATGGATCCAAAATAGATCAGGATCACAGATTTAGTCCATAGATGCCCAGGTCCAGGTTGGAGTTCATCCTGTCCAGATTCATTCATAACGCCTTACTTTTTCCCAAGCACAACCTGTATTCTTTATTTAAAGTAACTCATTCTCCAAAAAACAGACTCAAATCTTTAAAATCTATAAAAGTGACATTTCCTATAAAATGTTTACCGTTACCAATAAAACTTCAGAGTCATTATAGATTTGGAAAGCTGGCTTGTGAAACACAGTGTAAAGATTTCCAATCAGTCAGCAAAACATTCCTGGTATAGCTGTAAGGTTGCTATTATCTATCAGTGAAGGCTGAGATTAGATTAGATTCTGCAAATCTCATGAAGCATTTTTAGCCAGTAGTGAAAAAAACTAAATTAAATTTTCTCTCTCGCTCACTGTCACCACCCAAAGGAGATGCTATAGAGGTTGGGTGCAGTGTGTATCAACGCCAGCAAATGACGTAGTCATTGGTGGTCTGATGTCTGAATATCAAGGCTGACAACTGGGATATGAAACATCACTTCTCTGGTGGAGAAGGAGCTGATGTTTGAGTGTGAGGTTTAAGATATGACCCATAGATACAGTGAGGTGCACCTCAACACATGGCACGGGCCAGGAACCAGTCTCAACCAGTCTGTAACAAAAACTGTTTTTATTTTTATTTTTTAAACTGAACTGAACTTTATTGAACTTACGATGGTGAACTGTTCTTGAACACGAAACTCTGATCTGAAACGAAACTCTGAAACTCTGAGTTGCTGATCTCAGAGTTAATAAACTCATAGTTTATTTTTACACTCAGTTTGATGAACATGCTTCCTAGAATAGGGACCAGGAAATGTATCTCACTGAACGATGCTGAAGGATATCTCACTTCCTAAACGTGATGAGAGGTCATCACGTTTAGGAAGTGAGAAGTCAATAGGAAGAAGAAGCGCAACAGATATTAAGCAACAATTTCAGGAGAGGAAAACTGAACCCAACTTGAAAAGGTCAAGTCAAATTAAATACAGATATCATTCCCACCCGAGATTGGGATTCCAAGCCCCAAGTGCGATAGAAGGATCGTTGAGTGCATTAGAAACTGACCTTAAAGATAGGATCATGGCCAAGCTTGAAACCTGGATTCCCCCATAGCCGGTTACCAAGACTACGTGAAGTACCCTCAGAAGGTCAACTATATGATGTTAACGCAGCCCCACGGACGATGCCTACAGCCACCATTACCGAGAAATACCAAGGGCTCAGAGAAGAGCTTGAGAAAAGGTGGAGCGTGAAGATAACAGTGGTCCCTGGGGTAATCGGAGCACGGTGCAGTGCAGGAACAACATCAGAGATCTCTGTCCAGAAGAGCGCAGTCCTAGGAACAGCTAAGATACTGCACAGGACCCTCAAGCTCCAGGCCTGAACTTGAAGGATAGACCGCCCGTAGGGGCGAGCGGGGAATTTTATATATATTTTACTGTTTTTATTTTTCTGCCATTTATTTCATGGTCCAGGCTTTAACAGGTTAACAGCTGTCATAAGTCCTTTAGTTATTAGTTCCTCTTCTTGGTAACAGAAACTCTGATTTGATATGATCCAGTCTGAGTTGATGAGGTCATTGAGGATGATGATACCATTCCTCATTTTCAGGTCAGACTCTAGCAGTGGGTTAAAGGTCAATTTTTTACTTTTGATATTAAACTAGCTTCTGTAGTAAAATAACATGGTAAAAAAAACCACATACTCCAGACTCAGCTGTTATGTCTTTTATTTAGAGTGATATTGTATGTGTTCTTTGCACAGAATGGATCACTCATCTTCACACCTAAAACTAGAAAAAGGAAAGAACTAAAAAAGGACAAATGATGTTGAGTTTGTAAAAAGATTGTTGATCAAGTAAGACTACTCAGACTGCATTTTTTGCATTGTTAGACATATAATAGGTTGATAAAGTACAAATAATATGACAGTTCACTGTGAACACAATAGAAATGAAGTACGCAACATATACATGAGCGAGGGGCACTAAACCAATGCACCTTTCTAAAATTAAAACAAAATTTTCTCTTTCCCTCAGAATTTCCCCACGTCAGCATACAGCCTCTCTACAAATACTTCTGCATATTTAAGCTGTTTTGTTTCTATTTATATTGTGCAATATCTGTACTCTTATTAGCAATTGTTGAGAAATGTTATTTTAACTTTGTGTAAAGCACAGCTGTTCTCTCTGTGTTGTGCAAACCAAGTGTTTGCAAATGAGGTGCAAGATTTTAACCTAAGAACGGTAAGGATATATATCACTGTGTGTGTGTGTGTGTGTGTGTGTGTGTGTGTGTGCGTGTGTGTGTGTGTGTGTGTGTGTGTGTGTGTGAGAGAGAGAGAGAGAGAGAGAGAGAGAGAGGGACAGAAAAATGAGATCAGTAAGATTTTCAAAAATTGAAATTTGAAGGTATCTCTCCAGATGTTTCATCTGTGAAGCTGATTGTACAGGTAACGCTGGTGATATGGTTTTCAGCTTAAAGGTTAAAGGTCAAAGCTGAGTTGTTTATCTAAGTTACACCAGTCAGATTCTCTGATGTGAAAACAGAGATGTGTCCCATAAGATTTATGTCCATGTGACTCCAGAAACAGATCCCGAACACAGACCTGGAGCAATGCAGGTCAGTATGCTGTCCTGCATTGTGTCCTGCTGTCCCACTGTTAGTGTGGGAATACAGTGCTTGTCACTAAGTCCATGCTTACAGGGGGTCATCTGATTGTTGGGATTTCCTCTCTATTATAAGATCTTTACTTTACAACATAAAACACCTTGAGGTGACTATTGGGATTTTGCGCCATATAAAGTGAGTCAACTGCACTGTACAGGATGATTCACTGGTGATGCTCTGCTGTGTGGAGAGCTGACTTTTTTCTCTAGAGAAAAAACAAAATAAGTGAGGTGGATCTGGAGATTCCTCTATATTTCTCTATATTGAGCCAGATAAACTAGGACAGAATGGTGGAGGTCTGTAAGTACCTGGCAGAAGAAGCTGTTGCCAATAAGAGTAAGTGGATGCTCATTAAAATGGCAGAAGAGAAACTAGAAGAGGCAGAAAAAGCAATCAAGCTAATCCAAGAACTGTTATCTTTTATGAATGGCAACTCAGAGAGACAACCTCAGCAGAAGGAGCTGCTACCTAAACTAAATAGCTAAGCTCAATAGAAAGCAGGATCTAAAAAGCCATTGAGGAACATTATAGTGCAGACCTAGTCCTGAAAACTCTTATTATCTTAAGAAACAGAAATTTCAGTAAAATGAATTCATTACAATTTATACATTAATTTCAATTTTATTGTATTTCAATCACTTCAACGGTCTTTCCATTGTCAAATGAAGAGCCTACAATATCAGACAGAAAATATAACATATACACACCATTTGTCTTCACATCACTTCAACAGCATTCAGCACTTACTGGCTCATTGTATTGCCATTAATTCATTGCTTTCCTGCTGGTTCAAATGTGCATATATTAGTAAACAGTAATATACGGTAAATGAAGAAGGAAGTTCCTTAGAAAGATCAAATGCATTAATGAGCTTAAAGAAGAAAAGAAAAAAAACTTTCCCTCTTTTGGCATGACGTCATTTCATCTGCATAGAGCTTGTCTGCGAACACTTCTGCATATTTAAGCTTTTTTTTGTTCCTATTTTGTTGTGCAGTATCTCTACTGTTAATAGCAAGCTTAACACTCTAACTTTATTTGTGCACTTTATATACCAGAACCATATGGTTCTTAGGTGTAGAAATGTTATTTTATACACACACATACTTCGGTAAATTAATGTTTGCATAGTTCCTGCTGTTGTATGTAAAGGCGTGGTGTTCATAACGTGTGATGAGAGATTCTTTATCTCAATCAACTCCACAATAAAACATTCCTCAAATTTCATCAGTAACATCATTCACAGTGGTGTACACTCTCTCCTTTCCCATTTTTAACTCCTTTTCTGGTTCACGGTATTTCATCTCCATCTCCACTACCATCTCGTCCTCTTTGGCCTCCAGCATTTCACCTTCCTCTTCAGCATCATCTTCCCGTTCCTCGACTGCTTTCTTAATTTCAGCATATACTGTCTTTGTGCTCTCTTGCCTCCTTGCTGCCTCTCTGGCACCATTTCTTTTCAACAAGGAAAAATTAATGTCAGCATACTCCACTTCTTTTGGCCCGCTGTTTGAGTTAAGAGTCAGATTGTCCTGTAATTCTTGACCATCATAGACCTGTTAGGTACAAAGTAAAGAGTCAGTCACTTGCGTCTGTCTGGTATTTTTACATTTTGCTATGCATACAGAACAAAATTCTTCTTTTACTTTTTTTTTCTTTATCAGTTTGGTGTAAGAATTGAACCTTTAGTTACTGACAGTTACTGGTTGTAATCTTTCACAATGTACTTTGCATTTTATGTTTGCTTGTTTTGTTCTTTTTGTGTCTTTTTGGTATTGTTTTGTTTTTTGTTTTTTTTCTTTCTTTTTTTTCTTTTTTTTTTCTTCAGAACTGCCTTAATTCTTTGTGGCATAGAGTCACCACGATAATGAAAAATTTTCCATATTGACATTAAATATCACACAGTTGCTGCAAATCTTTCAGCAGCACATCCATGATGTGAAGCTCCCATTCCATCACATCCAAGCGTATCTTACTGGATTGATATCTGGCGATTTTTAGCGAGCCTGTGCAAACTGTTATTTCAGGTTCCTGTTCTGAGGGGTCTCCTGTCCCTCGCTGACTGAAACACCTCCAGATTCTGGCCAGTGATGCTTCCAGCCTTGCCAATCAGTTTGTTGACAACCACTGACAATGAGAGAACACTGGTGTTTTGTCCAAGACATCTGCGCTCCAGGTATATGCATCTGTGCAGCACATCCAGACAGATTCAGCTCTCTAATCAAACCTACTAGCACTGGCTGACAAAAAAAACAACCCACAATGGCAATACGAGAAACCAGTAGGTTAGGAAATCTTCGTCCATTATTCAGGCTACGGATTCAGCATAACTGGTGAGCTTCGGGGCTGCTGCGGTCATTTTTCTTTTAAAAATACCACCTTTATTGCCACGAATGGAGAGCTTTAACCAAGTACACATTATCTCCTCCTGTGTCCCCTCTTGAGGGAGGGTGCAGTGGTGCTGCTGCTGCTGTTGGTCAGCTTTAAGAGGCTGATGAGGGCTCTGACTTCATCCTCTGCAGCGCCCTTTACCACCCTCCAGGGAGCTCCCTTTGAGCCTCTCACTCAGCCCAGTCGGAGGACAGGAAGCACAAACAACCCCCTTCATCTGGCAAAATGACAACCACTGACAATGAGGGCTATCGCATTTGACACAGGGCAGACTCCAAAGACATTTTGTTCTCCTGCGGCCAGCTGTTGGACGAACACGCCTGTGCAACTTCAAAGAGAGGCGAACAAAGTGAGGAAATGTGAGAGAGCGGTGTGGGTATTGAATGGGACAAGCCGAACACAGACGAGTAAAAGCAGCAGGTCCCTCGCGTTTTCTCATAATGCACAGAAGGCACTGACTGCAGTGTGTCAGCGAAGGGATAGACATCAGCAAACAAATGATATAAAAAAAAATGCTGGACATGCACCAGTTAACAGGGCACCACTGGAGATTTCCAACTATTTCATGGTTCTTCATCGCTCCTCCTCTCGCAGTGATTAGTTTTTACAATCAGCGAATGCAAATTGGAATTTGCTGACAGCCCATCAATTTGCTGACAGCCCATCAATCACATTTTGGTTGCAATCTGTTGAGCAGCCTGACACATGCCAGGAGACATATCGTGCAGTCAATTTGCTCTTAGACAGTCAAATATATCTCCGTGCCACATGTATATGAGACATATTAACAACATTCCGTTTTCAACTACGCTCAAGGGAGAGCAGGCTGCTCGTCACACATGTCATTCACTGTTTCTCCAGAGCCACAGAACAGCTCTGTTGCATCGAGATGTCTTATTTTGTTTTTTGTTTTTTTTTTGTTTTTTTTCTAAATGACATCAGAAACAGCAGTATGCGACATTACGTGATGGCAGAGCTTCAATTCATCCTTTGTCATTTTTTTTTTTTTTTTTTTTTTTTTTTTCTTTTTTTTTTTTAATAAATAGGACAGGGGAATGAATGAGAGAGAGAGAGGGGGAGAGAAAGAAAGAAAACCAAAGGGGAGAACTTTTTGGTATTGTTGATTAAACAGAGCTTTAATGTCTATATATGCCTGCGGTGTGTTTAAAAGGGAATGATTCTTTAGCAGAGTTATTCCTTCTCAGACTCCAGAACAGTCCCTCCAAAGAGCAGATCGTTTTGTGCCAGTTAATTATATTTGCATTTTGTGTCGTGGTGAATTCCCAGCTTCCAATGGAATTGGTAAACAAACAAAACTATATCATCATACCTAAAACACAGCAACATTCTCCAATAGTATATATTGAAAATGACTAAAGTATAAAAAAAATTCAAACATCAAGTAAGATACATGGACTTATGCTCATACTTTTATTCTCCTACTAAAACAACTGTTTTCAGTAGATTTTGTCTTTTAGCGAGATTATCCAAAACCTCCCTCTCTGAACTGAATTAAACGCAACAAAAAATGAAGGCTGATCTTATAAATGGAACCAAATAATTGTGGCATGAATCTGACCCAATTCATATACTGTAACATTGTAGAACCTTGGATCAGGATGTGAAAAAAATATATATTAACAGGTGTTAGTGTCACACAGTGGAAATTTGTATTTGTCTTTTATAATTGATTTTTATTGTTTATTTGTGTGTGGTTTTTATTTGCATGATTTCATTCTGATTTGTCTGTTTTTAAAAGCAATGCCACGAGGGAAGCCGCAGTGGAATCGAGTGACAGACTCAAGTGCAGAGTGCGAGCTGAGCTGTGGTGTGACTAGCTTAGTGGAGGGGCAAGATGAGGATAGGAGGGATCTCCTCATCCACCTGGGACGTGGTCCCCACTGTGGAAGGGCAATTTCTCTCCTGGTTGTAAGCACATAAGGAACATTAGTCCTGGGTTGTGGGACAGTTGCATCGCGGGACTGGGTGATATTTTAGTGTACAAAGAATATTTGTTTTGTTAAAACTTTGTTCATCTATTCCTGTTGAATTTTAGTGTCTACATTAGCAGACAGGTCTTCCAGCAGAAACTGCATGAATGTTTCTGCATGAAGGAGAGTTTTAATAAACTCTCGATTATTCTCAGCAACATAACAGGAAGTGTCCTTACAAAATAGAATCCTGACCGATGACAAATGAGGGCATACCTATTAACTAACTAAAAAGCAAGTATATTAAAAAAAAAAGCCAAATGAACATAAATACCAGTTTATCATCTTGATGTGTCCTCATCTCCAAACTTCTGGAAGTCTTTTGTTTGTTTCTGGAGAAAAGAGTAATTTTATAGTAAAAAAGTAATTACCTATCTATCCATCCATCCATCCATCCTAATAATAGTTATAAAAGTAAATGCTGTACCTGTAGCAATGTTTGGCCAAACAGCAAAGGACTGCTGAAAAAAGTACCCCAGTCAAAAAGGCAATAATGACTTTCAGGTATGCCAGCCTGACACCAGATGATTGCTCTATAACCAAAGGAAACGACATAAAAAAAGCTTAATACATTTTCTTTATATTACATAGAGTAAATGGAAAAAACTAACTAATCAATGTCTGATTACAAAGATATTGATATTATTTGATATAGAAAGTGGTAGTGGTGATAATTTGAAAAAGCACATACCATGTTTTTCAGACAAGTTTTGATGGATAAGGAGGATTTCTCTTTCTTCTCCATTTCCATTGTTACTCACACATTCAACAGTGCTGTTGCCATGGCTTTTTACAGTTAGACTGATAATGCTGTTGACTGTGTGGTTTGACACAGTAGTAATGACAGAGTACTCAGTGTGGTTCTTCAGTAGCGGCCAATTGATAGTAGGTAAAGGAAACCCTTCACTGATACACACACAGGTCAAAACCTCTGACTGAAGCACACATCCAGAGCCCTTCTGTATCTTTGAAAACCCTGTAAACACATGATCATAATCATAAAACAAGGGAAAGTTAACCCAAAATATAAACTTCAGATTCAAGGTTAAACTACTCACAAGACACAGTGACATTGAGATAAGATGTAAGAGTCGTGTATAAATATTCTGCTGTACAGATATACTGTCCAGAATGTTATAAACATGTTATAAACAGAATTATAAACAACAAGTGTAGCAGATCCAGTGTCACTGTGCAATTCACTGTAGGTTCCACTATGAATGTCTGTGTTGGAACTACGTTTTTTTTCACACAATAAGACCTGGGGGGAAACGTTCAAACGTGCAGGTCAGACTCAGAACATCTCCCTCCTTCACAGTTGCATTTCCAATGATGTGAAGGTTCCTTGTATCTAAAAACCACATTTAAGTGGTTCATTCAAAGAACACTGTCATACAAACATTATACTATGGAAATGTGTAATGATACCCTGTACAGCTGTGTAGACATGAACATGTAAGAAAAGTAGTGTGTTGATGCTAGAACAATAATAAGAAGCACAAAATAATCCGGGGGTTTCTCTGTGAATTTTGCATTCCCGTTGTAACAGTCACAATTGTGTGGTGTTTCTTTAAGGCAACCTAAGTCAGGGGTTTATGATGTCATTAGTATGAGCCACTGCCCTATCTGTGAACTGTCACTACCCGATCCGTACCGGAAACCCGATCAGTACCACGCATGTGCGAAAGGTGTCTATTTCCGCTCGAAGCAGTTTACAATAGTTACAGGTCAGAGTATCTGTTAAGATGTTAACAATAATACGTATCTCTTAAAATGTTAGAATAGAATAGAATAGAATAATCCTTTAATTGTCCCACAAGGGAAAATGTCGGCAATAATGAAACATTTCAATATAATGTAGACAAAAACAAAAAATCAAAAGATAGTTACGGATCAGGGCTCCCCGATCCGTACCGTGCATGTGCAGATGTTCTCTTCTTCTTCTGTTTCGTTTAATGGCAGTTTACGCCCCAATGTACGAGGATACTGTCACTTGCTGACCGAGCAAATGAGCCCTATTGTAAACTGAACTTGCATCATTACAAATCATGTTCATGTATGCGTGTTACATTTGATTTAGTGATAGTCGAATGTGTTTCTGCTTGTCTGTGTGGAGAGGATTGTTGGAATAGTGATGATGATGTCCCCTATCACTGTCATTTGTCAGTAAACACTTAATCTGGCTGATGAATCTTCACATGACACATAACTAAGTCTGTATTATTAAGTCTGTAATTAGGCACCATTCTTCTTATTTTATGGCGCTGTTGTTCCGTTGAGGAGAAATGCATGAATTTGTTTGTATATGGAGGTATCCATTGTTTAAATATCCCGGGCAGTCGAAAAAGAGGCAGAGCTGTCGAGAAATGCTAGGAGCTAACTGGGCGCTAACCGTGTCATTCAAATATATTAAATGTCGCAATGTTGGCAAAGAGAGGAAGTGACGTAAGATTTGCGCATGTGTGGTACTGACCGGGTTTCTGGTACAGATCGGGTAGTGACATGAACAACATGTTTGCACGCGAGTGCATGGAAAGAGACAGACTTTATATATTTTACCTCTTCAGGAACTTTTGCAATGTTACGGGTTGTATGAACACTGTGTGTCATGTTTCGTAGGCAACAGCCGTTCAACCGGGCCTTGTATGGTTGATGAAGAAAAGGTGCATTAAAGGATATGCTGTGGAATTCCCAGTTTCAGTGTGATTGCGTATTTTTCCTACTATCCTGCTAAGGTTTCTACCGCCTCCTCTCAACCAATGAACACAATTCAACGTTACACTGTGGCAGGGCAGGTGCTTGCTCAGATTTGAGGTTTAATTTTTCACTGTAGAAAGTTTTTTTCCCACGCTGAGTGTACAGTGGACACTAATGTTTCTGTCACTTTTTACGGAATTAAACAAAGTAATCTCAGTACTTCCGAGCTTTAAATGCTGCATGGTCGTACTCTCTCCCACCCTCCATATAATCCATTGTTCATCTACACACGTCTGTTGCTGCTATGGACGTTGCACGCTCGCACATCATTGTCATGAGAGACAGTAAACCAATTCAGCTTTTTTTGGAATATTAATCCCTTACTTTACTCGTTACTTGAAAAAATAATAGCTTTACAGTAATGTGTTACTTTTAACGTGTTACTGCCCATCTTTGTTTGTAACACTATATACCTACTGTCAAGTGCCACAAATACCAACAGCTTTTAAAATGTTTATTGTAGAATGTGATCAGTAAATTCAAATGGTTCTTGAATGCACATTTGTAATTTTTTGTTTGTCAGGAATGTTCATTTTATTGTATATTTTACATTGTCTGCATTTTATTCAATATGTATTTTTTTGTTTGCTTTTTAGTGCTAGCAGTCAAGGCCAACAATCTAAAAATGTCTACAAATTTGACTGCACAATGCACAATGTTGACAATGCACGGTTGTCCGATGGAGGAAACTGTGCCAAGAATACTTTTTCTGTGCGATGTTGCACGATGTTGTGTACTTACATATCACGGTTACATTGGTGTCTTTCTTCAGGACACTGTCCATGTATTTTGCTGTACAGATGTACTGTCCAGAATGTTCTGCTGTTGCATTTGGGATGACTAGTGTAGCAGATCCAGTGTCGTTATGATGGTTTGCCTTGGAACCTAATTTAGACCACATAATAAGAGATGGAGGGAAACTTTCAACACTGCAGGTCAGATTCAGGACATCTCCCTCCTTGATAGTTGTGTTTCCAATGATTTGAGGTATCCTTTTATCTGTTGAAGAAATGGCAATATTTTGTTTAAGATAAGAAATTAGAAAATAACTCAAAGAATGATTAAATATAAGCAAACTTTGTTTTAAAAGAAATACAGACGTAACCTTTACTGTGCATATAAACCTCAGATAATAAGGTTAACGTACTTACAAGACACAGACACATTCAGATATAATGTAAGAGTCATGTTCAAATATTTTGCTATACAGACGACCTGTACAGAATAATCTTTTGTCACATTATAAACAACAAGGAGCAGCATTAGCATTAGCACAAGTTTAAAAACACTGCAATCAACCCACCCATTGTCGCACTGAAACTCCACAGCTATCCTCATCCTAAGTTGTTGTGCAAATTCATCCTACATAAGTATGCAGTGGGTGTGCATGGCCGCTTTAAGAATATTTGAGTCCATTGAAACCAGATTTTGCACATCCAGCATGTAAAAGCCTTTATTCTGGTGATTTTCACACACGTATTGTGGTCTAAAACTCTGGTCTTTCACAGTAAACCGGGAGACCACTGTGTGAGGCAAGCTACTACTGACTAACCTTTCACTACAATCAGCAAGTAAATAAGCTTAGCACTGTACTAGATGACCTTCCTCTTTCCCAACATGTTAGATGCAGAGAAAACAGTATGAAAAGTCATTAATAACTCCTTTAGTACATTAAAAATGAAAGCTGTGACGATGATGGTGAGGGGACGGCAGCTGTGCCGACTTCCAGTAACATAAAACAGGCAAGCTGATCAGTTGCAGGCTTAGCCAACACTTTCTGATCAGCATCTATGAAAATGTCTGAATGTTATGTTTAAACGGCTTTTTTGCCAACATTCGACCTTCATTTTTCATTCCTAATTTTAATCCTACCTGTAGATATTAACGCTAATCAAGCTTTTTATTCAGCTCACTTTTTTGTAATGGATATATTTTTGTATACTTACAAAAACCAGATGTAGGCTTGTGTTTCTGCTAGAAATATATTCCGTCCAAAAGCATAAAGCTGTGTACTCACATATCACTGTGACGTTGACTTTGTCCTTCAGGGTATTGTTCATATATTTAGCTGTGCAGACGTATTGTCCAGCATATCCTGCTGTTACATTGATGATAACAAGATTGGCTGATCCAGTGTCAATGTGAAGCGTTTCATTGTAACCAAGTTTAGACCAAATAATCAGAGATGGAGGGAAACTGTGAACATTGCAGGTCAGATTCAGAGCCTCACCGTCCCTGACAGTTGTAACACCAGTGATGTTAACCTCCTTCACATCTATGAAACAAATACACATAAATCCCAGTCATGTAGTTTCCATAACTCCAAAATTCTTGCAAGTGAAAAGATGATCCTGTAAAATAAAATAGATTTTAGGGGGGAAAGTCAACTTAAGGTTGTAAAAGTACTCACAGTTTACATTCAAACCTGAAGTCTTTTGTGCAGTCGCGTCACCTGTGAAGCGGATTTTACAGGTGACATTGGTGTTGTGGTGTTCAGCTGAAGGGTTAAAGGTCAAAGTTGACACATGTCTTTGTGTGAAAGGAGTCAGACCCTCAGTCTTAAACACAGTGCTGTTTCCTGTAATGTAAGATTCAGTCCCTCCTTCTCCTCTCCATGTCCAGGTGATTTGAGGAACAGATCCAGAGCAGAGACCAGGAGCAGTGCAGGTCAGTGTGGCCTGCTGTCCCTCTGTCAGTGTGGGAATCATTACTGTAGGCTTCTGTTCAATACCTAATGGAAATACTGGGCATTAATGAAATCACATAAACTGTCTGAAGTTTAACTACTTGGATTTGGGCTCAGATAATAAAATATTTGGTAAAATGGTTAATGGCAAACACAGGTTTTACCAGGAACTGCTGCAGTTCCTACTAGCTACCAGCTAGAGGTTAACAATTTCCTAAAATGAATGAATACTTCATTAAGACCAAAAAAAATACAAAATATGTTGTTGTACATGACTTAATATCGTGTTTCTACATGATTGTTCTTGGAATAACTTTTCATACCTTTAATAGAAACAGTTACTTTTTGACTGAATGTGAATCCACCTTGTTGTCCATTCAGTACACCAGTAACTCTGAGCTGATAAAATCCAGAATCAGACTCTTTCAGATCATTAATGATGATGCTGCAGTTTTTCTGACTCACATCAGGTTCCAAACGTGAGACTCGTCCTTTAAACCCAGACTGAACTTTTTCATTGTTCTTGTTGCTGTGAAATGTTATGTCAGCATCACTACATTTTTTAGACGCTTCGCATTTGTACCAAACTGTATGTTTGGGTGTAAAGTTAGCAGCAGTAGTGAAAGAACACGGGATCACAACACAGAGTCCAGCCTCTGCTGTTAGTTCTCGCTCACTCAGAGTCACACAATTTCCTTTGCCTCTACAGTGTTGTCGTCTCCAGACTGAGGCACCTGTTAATGCAAAGGGGAAGATGAAAGGTTTCACATTTCTTATCTTATTATATGTGCAGTTAACAAAAGATTTATTTATGACATACAAGTCAACAGATAGCAATGGCACTGTTAAATTATGTGTGAGTGTGAATAAATGCTTTTTATCTAGATTCATGTCATGAAAATAGTTTCACACACAGATATATACAAAAATCATATTGGCAGAAATACAGGTTTACAAATTAGCAGACGCAAACCTTTGTCAGCACTGCTGCCTCTTACAGAGAAAAACAGAGTTGACCAGATGAGAACAAACATCCTGGATATTCGATGCGCAACACGTTCAGTCTCTCCTTCCACAGAATAACTAATCAAGATGATAAAGCAAATTAAAGAAGTATAAAGGAATTAAAACAAAATTTAAAACACAAGAAAAGTCTTCTTCTCACAACTCAGTAAATGATGTCACATGCTTAGTTATGTAGTAATTGACCATAAAGATCTTTATGGTAAAAATCTTTGTGATATCTATTTCTGAAACATTAACCTCCTAAGACCTGAACTCTTCCACGGCATGCATTTTTAATTTCTCTTTGATATTTGGGATATATTTGCCCGATGAATGTAAAAACAAAGAATTACTAGATTTTTTTAACCTTATTTTTGTTTTTAAGAAAAATAAAAGCCACATATGAGGCTATTCGTTTAAAATGTTGATAGAACAGTAGCAGTATAATGTCATCGTAAGTGGATATCAGGCCCTTGTAGAGCAAAATTTTGTATTTTGGTCTAAATAACCCAAAATGTGATGTCCACATATGTGGACACCAGGTCCTAGGAGGTTAATTAATGAAAAAAAAAAAGATCCCTACAGAGTAAAAATACCCCTCATATCATAAATATATGTATATTGTCAACCATATTTAATGAATGCATAAGATCTCTTAATTTTGCCAGCACTGCTATAAATATGAAAACCTTTACATTCAGATTTACATTTTTAAAAAGATATTTTGAAATATATTAAACAGTTTACGTGTTTCGTCTTGTTCTTCGTCAGTCTTCTCTCCACACTGATATCTGCTGCCTTTTTGGAGCTGAAGTTTCTCTTCCTCTCTTTTCTGTTTCTTCCTTTTTCCTGCAACAACATTTCAGAAAGTTTGTCACCACCCCCATAAGCACTACAACAGATACAATTATTATCTTATATCACACAATGTATGTTTTATATTTTTATCACAAAATGTCAGTCAGTGGGTATTTCTATTCCTCAAAAATCTTGCCATCCTAAGAAAATGAGACCCCCGTAGTGGTACGAAATAAAGTTTCTTACACTCCGCTCTGTTTTATTTATATAGTGCTCTTTACACAGCAAGTTAAAGACCAGAATATTAGACTGTCATTTAGGCTGTTTTTACATTACTCCAACATTACTGATACTTTACTCGACAAAGATTACATTAAGTTTAATTTCATTTAAATTAAATGCATTAAAGAGCTTACAGAACTCGAAAGACAAGCCGTCTCAGCATTTCAACAGTTTGTCTGATAACACTTCTGTTTTTTTCAAGGTTTGTTCCATTGCTGTGGACTCTTATTTTAACACTGAATAAGACACGGTTGAGTTCTCTGTATTTATGAAAACAGAGAACATGCAAGATTTTAATCTATTCAGCAGTTTGTTAACGGTGACTCTACAAAGCTGGATCCACAGATTGCCAACATTATGTGGATTAAAAATAACGCAGTCTTTTTTTTTTTGCATTTGAAAATAGCTTTTTGGTGTCATGCAGGTCAACAAACTGCTTTTCTTCTGAATTTGAATCTTGCATTAAAGCGTAAGCTCAACTTCGCAGAGTGGTCTGAGCATCTAAATATATAATTCTGTGAAAACTTGAGTACAGACAAGATGAAAGAGCCTAATGGAGCTCAAGTACTGATAGCTTAGGCAGTATTATTGGCCTTAACCTGCTGAGTCATACTTGATAGAAACAAGTGATATCATTTAAAGAGACGAGATCCAACTGTTTACGTCCCAGAAAGAACAGAAATGGCAGAAAAAACATCATCTGTAATCCAGCTTTGCATGTAAAATCCCATCACGTCTTACAGCTTTCATTATAGAGGCAAGTTTAAAAAGATACTGGGCCTGTTTTGGGTTAACGTGTAGCCTTAGTTTCAAAGAATAATATCAAATAATATCTGTTTAAATCATCAAGTAATTAAGCAAAGTCTGGGGTGACTAAATAGGTCCTAGCTTCTTTTTATAATAGTTTCCATAAAGTTTGATAGACAGAACAGTCTAATACACTGGGAATAAGAAAACTGAATTGTTGGATATGGGAGGTCTTAATCTTGCAGTCTGTGAAATATTAAACATACAGTTCATAGCCAGAAATCGTTAAAATATCAAGTAAGAAAACTAGTGCTCTGAAGTTGGTGATAAGTGTGATAACCTGTGGATATGACGCACAAGCCGTGCTGAACAGTGTCTACACTGAGACCATCTGGAAAGCATTTTCATCATTAATCGATAAGCAGATATTTGTAGTCATTTTTAGTCCTTTGTTGGAAAAGTATCAGGAAATTCTGCCAAATGCCTGACTTGGTGAGATCATTGATGATGATGCTGTAGCAGTCAGACTCTGATTCCATTATCGATGTCACGTAGCGATTCTCATTAACTCAGCAGTTTATGAAAAATAAAGACTGCTCGTACTGCACTGACTGCATTATTAAACATATATCAGCTTGGTAAAGTATGAACAATGACATTTCATGTTAGATGCAATACAGATGTTGCATGTAAAGTGTACTTAAGTATTAATTTTATTATTACAAAGTCTGTATTGACAGTTGAGTACATACATTTTACATGTAATCTTATATTCATGCATCCATGTACGAAAAGATACAACTTCTGTTACAGAAGTGCATAAATTGTTGCAAATTAAGAAACATATGTCTCTATTCCAGTACATGGACGTTTGTCTTTTGTGATGATGTCTATAAATATTTATACACATATATACATATGTGGCATCACTGTACACACAGCATCTGACAACTTCCCATTCTCACTTAAATGTACTAAAATACGACTCTGAAAGACTGCAGAGTTTCTCTCTCGGTCAGTTAAAATTAGCTCACATGTTCACTGCTGAAACTGCTAACATGACAGAAAGCAAAAATGTGCTGTAGTTGTAACTGAGTGGTTTTCTCCATTACAGCCACTGTGTTTGGTCAAGTTGTTTTATGATGAAAATGTTTTGACTTATTACCTAAAATCGATTAAAGCAGCATAGTGATGTATACTGTAGCAGACAGAATTTATAATAAGGATTAGTGTAAATTGAACAGGAACAGAGGGCCTCAGTGTAGAGCTCCACCACACAGTTAAGCTATTTTGGGCCTCTGACCATCCTGGATACTCATAGGTAAGGTGGCTTTTATTTCAGAAACACATATATTTTCAAACTGAGTGTTATGGTGGATTATGCTGCTCCCCACTACTCCTGGAGTGGTTTGAATGTTGTTACACTGTGATGCTGTCTAATTACACACAAAGGTTGATGTCAGTGTTGTCCTGAACACTTTCCCTCCTGCACATTCGTCATATATGCTGTATACATACAGATGTAAGTAGAATATTCAAATATCTCTGTAGGTCCAGAGAATGCATATCTCGACATATCTCAGCATTAATATTATCATAAACACCACAATTGTAATTATAAGCCAAAAACTGTAGATGATACTAAATAATACAGTCTAACCTGAGAAGAGATACTAGCTGAACCGTCATAGTTTTATCATTAGAAAGTCAGACACTGCCCTCTGCTGGATTCAACAGATGACACATAAGCCACTCTAACGCCTGTTTCAGCATAAATTGCCCTAATAACAAAGAAATGTGGAACCAGCAGGTCTCTGTAATTTTACCTCAAGCCAGGTCTGTGTGTATAACTTGGAATATGATTTATTGTGTTCATTGCACATTTTTATACAAATACTCAACCATCCACACCAAAAACATGGTGTGGTGTAACATTAATTATGACGAGTGATACACGATTATGTCCTTCACATCTAGGAAAAACCCCATAAACTCAACAATCGCGCTTGCAGAGCTTCCCTAATTTATCGTTTGTTTTTGTTTTTTTACTGAGACAGAAAAAAAATATAAAATAGTAAAATGTTCAAAATTCAGAATCAAAGATTCCTCTACAGTTGTTTCACACATGAATCTGTGAATTTTACAACTAATGTTGGTGATGTGGATTTTCAGTTGAAAGGTTAAAGGTCAAAGGTGAGCTGTGTGTCTGTGTTACAGCAGTCTGATTCTCTGACTTCAAAACAGTAATGCTTCCTATTTTTTGTAGGATACGGGCTATTTCAGAAACAGATCCAGAACACAGACCTGGAGCAGTTCAGGTCTTTGTGGTTTAGCTCACTGGTTTAGCAGACACTCATATGTGTTATGGCTGGAATGCAATGTCCCGGGTTCAAGCAGTCCTGTTTGTCCTTGCTTTGTGTCCTCCCCTGTTTACTCTTTACTGCTAGGCTGTCAACAAAGGCAGAAAGCCCAAAATTAGATTAAAAGCAGTTTTTACTTCAGCATATATTTTCTTTCAGCAAGGAGGTTGGGCTTTTTTGTAGTGTCTACATGTCATGCTGTCTGTAAATAAAAAAGCTGGAAAAGTTTTGAATGCTTTCTGATAAAACTTTGTAGGGGTGTAGAGTGAAGTCATGCTAATAAGCCATTAAAATGTACATCCACCAAGTTCTTGATGGTCAATTTTATTGAAAATGGTTGAACATGGACCAAAAGGCTCATAGGTTAGAGACTATTATTCTTACAGGTGTGGTGTGTATTGTCAACATATAGAAATGACCGTATAAAATTGAAAACATCATGCTATGTTTGACCTCTGACCTCTCCTTCAAGCTCTGTAGATTGATCTAAAGGTTAAAGCAGTGGTTCCCAAACGTTTTTCGCTGGACCCCCTTTGTTTTACAGAAAAATATTCGCGCCCCCCCCTCGCGCGCGCACACACGCACGCACTAACACGTCCTCCAACCACACACACCCATATTTTGCTCAATTGCGGTTTATTTCACACCTCAAACATTTAGTAAACAATTAAGCAAATACAAGTAATCTGCAATAAATTACAGGTAGTAAGAAAATAAACTATTAACTCTTTTACGCTACGTCCGCACCTACACAGATATTTTTGAAAACGCAGCTGTGTCGTCCACACGTAAACGCCGTTTGGAATCACCGAAAACGAAGATTTTTAAAACTCATTTTTTGCGTTTGCGTGTGGACGAGGAATACAGAGTTTGTCATGCAACGTCAAAGGTATGTGCCTTTTTTCACGTCAGCTATGCGCCACGTTATTGTTTACATGAAAGAAATTGCAGAATGGCACATAGTCAGATTAACAGTATTTTGTCTCTATCTTCAGGTTTTACACGCTTACATATAAACACGTATAAACACGTGATTATTTTACATGTAGTTGTTTTTTCCTGTGTAATAATATTCAACATTGCTGTCAATACATTTAAAAAAAATGCCTCTCTGTGCAAAATGGGTTCAAAAAGATAAACAGCTGTAGAATACTGTTTGTCCGGGATTTAGACAGGGGGAACAAATCGTGGCAGGATCAGCCTGATGTTATTTGTATCCCGCTGTAACTTTACTGTATAAAGAGCTAACATCTCCAAAATGTCAGGAGTAGTTAGTCATTACAAGAAGTGTTTGTGAACTAAAAATCAAGAATGTGGGATGTTGTTTGTCCGTGATGTGGAGAGCTCAGCGGTGCTCCCCACGAAGGGAAAACCAATTTTGCAGGGGAGACCTACCTCGGCACTTGTGCAGGTGAAACCAAAGGGAAGTTATGCTTCACCACATTTTCTAGTCTTTGGCTTAGAATGAAGTTGGTTTGGAAACATATTCAGCTATGCTTCATCTCCTGCTTTGCGTTTGTGTAGGCCCCCATGCTAGCAGTGTCCAAGCGTTGTTTTTTGTTTTTTGCCTTTTCATGC